TATGATACATTACCCCAAGCTATGAAAGTAAATATATCAGACCAGACATACACCGTTAAGTCATAAAATGTGTGGGCTACAGCGGATGTAGGGCGTTTACGAGTGTACTGGACTTCCGATTTTTCTCCTTTGTCACGGTCTAATAACGAAAAAGGTCCACTAAAACGATTCTCGCATCGCCACGGGCAGAATATATTTTTTTCCATCCTCCATAGGATGTGACGCAACTTGATCTTATTTCCCGACGAATTTGTTTTTTCTGGACATCTATTTTATGTTTTCCTAATAGTTTTTATAGATTTTATTATGCAAACAAATAGATTAGGGCACTTAACGGTTATTTATAGATTACAAATGGGTTGATATATATTAATGATTGATAGCCTAGTATACTAAAATACTATTCTAATAAAATATAAAATAAATTTTATTGTATATTAATATAGTTCGATATTTTAAGTTTGCCATATTGTGAACAGATCGATGTCAAAGAAAAATCAAATGGCGCGAAAACAAATGAATCACTAAATTCGAAATACAAAAACACAAGCCTAAATTTGAAATAAATTTGAATTTAGAATTCCTACCCAAACGCCAGATATTTGAGATCAAAGTGGCCAGTTCGACAAAACGCCAATTTCATATGTATAAGGACCTATATTTAAATGAGTATTATAGGGAGATACTCAATCTACAAGAAAATATAAATGTAATATAAACAACGTTTACTTTCAATCTTATAAAAATAGTTCTTCGAATATACATACATATATTGCTACATGAATCGTTTAATGGAACGAACAGTTTGGATTTGGCCTAAAAATAGACGCTAAAAAGAAACCTCAAAGAGATGTTTTGGGGCAAGACGAAATGGAAAATATGAGTGTGGCGGATGAAATTTTTCACCAATGCTTTTTTTGCTTTCCTTCTGATATACGAGAAAAATATTTTGAACATACAGGATGAAATTTTGCAATCAAAAGGGACGCCTTTGATCAACAAAAAATTGTGTAACTCGGGTTTTATTTTTATACACGTCTCGGTTGTTAATAATATGTAAAACGTGGGTGAGTGTTCGGACTTCTGGCTAGTATTTGGTCCAAGTCAGTTGCCTAATTTTAAATTACACTATGCAGAATAAGGTTTAAATGTATGTAAGCAAATATAAGATTGATTATTTGAAACAAAGCCGATTTGATCATACTAATGGTATAATAAAAACAAAAATCATTGAACACTAACATTTCAAGATCGAATTAAAATCTTTGGTTAAAGTAGCAATCGCAAAAAACATAATACGTAAATACTCTTATGCTATTGTATTTAATAACTGACTAACAATTAAAGTTTTTTTTTTCAAAATTGAAAAAAAAAGCTAGCTTTATATGACGTTTTAAATTATTTTGACTATTTAACTAGACTAATCTTTGAAATGAGAGAACTGATCATAACGCCTTTTGCACTAACGGATAACTGTTTTCGTGTAGATGTGGTTATAGACATTAAGGAATAAAGAAATTAATAAAAGGCCTTTCACACCATGTAACGATATTACCGTGCATTTATCCCTACATTATAAATCGTCACGGATACGTTTTATTGAAAACGTATATGTTTAAAAATTACGTAAAGTTAGTGTGACAATACTTATGTCCGATTTCACCAACGTCACCTAAGTTTCAGGGATCCCCTAAGCATAGTTAGGGGGCTGTTAGGGGACAGTTTCTGTTTCACCGACAGTTAGGGGTCACCTAAATGTTAAAAGGCCCCCTAAATTTAGGTGCTCGAAATATGGGCTTAAAAACGATGGTAAAACGAAATTTAATTTAGGGGCTAGTTTAGGGGAACTTTTAAGCTAGGGATCCCATACGTAGGTGGTAGCTTATGGGTTGTTGGTGAAATCGGGCATTAGTCTTATCTTTCGTAGAAATTCTATTTTTGACTCTGTGATGTGTGAGTAAGGATTTATAATTCGATTCAAAATCAAAATAAAAATTTTTTAACAAAAAAATAAAAACCGACTTCAAACAAAAGCACTAAAAAGTAACAAATAACTGATTGGTAGTTTTAATTTACTATACATACCTAATCAAATATTTTCGAAGTCGGTGTGCTTAGCTTTGTATGGGCTGACACCAATTTCGAAAATATTTGATTAGGTATGTATTTAATAGGTAGGCTTTAATTACTTAGCCAAAGCACACCGACTTCGAAAATATTTGATTAGGTATGTATAGTAAATTAAAACTACCAATCAGTTATTTGTTACTTTTTAGTGCTTTTGTTTGAAGTCGGTTTTTATTTTTTTGTTAAAAATTTTTTATTTTTCCCTTTTTAGTGTAGACAGTAGTAGCAAAGTAAGGATTCTAACGTGTTAGGCTTGTCAAATCAAACAAAATAAGCCCAAACTCAAAGTATCTACTATTAGCCGTTGAAGAGTTCCACCTATCCACCTTCTGGCCTTGCTATCAGATCAGGTCAACAACACCGAACCACTGTACTATCAACAGAAATAGAAATACTTGCAAAGTTTCAAGTCAATATGACAATTAGAAGTAGGTTAAATTCATCATTAGTTGTTTTTCCACCCTTAGGGGTGGTATTTTTTTTTGAAATTTAAATGGGACCAATCTGGAAGTACACCCTTTCAAACAAAACAAAAATTGTCCAAATCGGTTAATAAATGACGGAGTTCTGAGGTAACAAACATAAAAAAAAAAAAAAAAAACATACAGTCGAATTGAGAACCTCCTCCTTTTTGAAGTCGGTTGAAAATTGTGAAACGGCAAACGTAATGTAGTTTATGAATAATAAAATCAAAACTAATCCGTTAAACGTCTAAGAAATCTAATAAATTGTACCGACAATGAGGCGACAAGGGGTAAATGAAATCACGTCTAATGCACCGAGAGTGTGACTGTAAGCCCGCATCCTAGGACATCTATTTGTTGAACTCAATATTTTAATAGCCTGCTGTTAACTTAATCGAATTATATTATTTAATTTCCTTGTAAATATATACATATTATGTGTTACTTGTAAATAATATGTTACTTGAACAATTTTATTTATATCTTTCTTGTAAATAATATGTTAGATGAACAATTATTTTTTTATGTCTTTTTCATGGATGTACTTGTACAAAAGAAATGGTTCAACATAAAGCTGTTAATTCCTCCTACTAATAGCTTATATTTAATAAACGTTCTACTAAAACGTATAACACTATGAATATTTATAAAAGTAAGTTTCTATGAATATTAGTATTTCTATGAATATGAAAATTGTGGACAAGAGTAATACGCGAAACAAAATTTAGGGTAGTTAATAATAACCTGGCTAAATTAAATTTAAAGTAAAAAATGTAATGGCCAGTTCTACTCAGTAGTCGGTACTGGGGTTTTATATCCGAATCGAGAGAAGAAAACATTCAGTAAACATTTTAAAAATATTACTGAACTAGTATTGCCCGCGGCTCCGTCCGCGTTTAGATGACCAAAAACCAAAATCTTAGGTTTTACATATTAGTATACTTTTACATTGCAGTTTTTGTATTTTTTCTCAGAAATAAGACATTTTCCCGCGGTAAAAAGTATTCTATATGTTGACCCGGATAATCAGCTATCACCATACCAAATTTCATTAAAATCCCTCCGATGGTTTTTCCGTGATGCGGTAACAGACAGACAGACAGACAGACAAAAATTCTAAAAACTATAGATTCGGCCTCTGTAAATAAGAATGTTTATTTCAATAAGATTTTCCAAAAAATATTTAATGTACAGCTTCGGCTTAGTTACAATTTTATTATATTATGTATATAAGATAAAATTATAAAATTTAAATCGGCCTTTTAGCAAATTGAATTTAAATCATTCTTGTTGCAATACATTCAGATTACGAGCTGGAACTTTGCAGTCAAGTCCAAATTCTCATTTAGACTTCGACGTCACTAGACTCTTTTTATTACCTAAGTCTTTAATTACTATTCCTGTAGCTTCGCCAATGACTATGACGCAATGAAACGGCTATGTATAAATCTGACGCGAAGTTAAAAAAATCATATTTTATTAAGGGCGCATCGAGGCAATAACGAAATAATTGCGATCGTTTGATCCCTTGCTGTATTGTTATTACTAAAACTTTAATTATGAAATTAATATGTAGGATATTTAAATATTTATTCTATAAATCGTACACTTTAGAAACACGATTACTTATAGTTTCCTCTATAGAAAAAAATCTCTCTAAAAAACTCTCTAAAATCTCTAAAAATCTCTCTAAAAAAACAAAATAAACCCTTAGTGCGGCGTAAATAATTCAAGGAAGTTCATCTGTTTCTTCAATAATATCAAAACTATCCGTTTTCTTTAACGAATACTTTACATTTTCAAAATGTGTATTTGTTTTAATAATATGAAGGAAAAACCTAAATAGGCACGCGCTCCGTCCATCCTAGCCACATCCCCCCTTGTCCGCTGTCATCTTACTAAAATAAAAACCTCGGTGCCCTCTTAAAGACTTTTACTACGTATTAAATAAATTCACAAATCGTCTTAACACCTGCCTACAACAAAACGAATGGTGCGCACTTACATCTATTTACGTTTTAGTATTCAATTTTCAGCGAATAAATATTTTATTATTGCCATAAATCAATTTATTTCTAAATTTCTTAACTCGAAATTTTACCTAGGTATACTAATATATAAAGCTGAAGAGTTTGTAGTTTGTTTGTCTCTGGATCTACAAGACCGAATTGAAAAAATCTTTTTGCGTTATATAGCCTATTTATTCAGGAATAGGCATCATATCTTACATTATACAACGACCAACGAGAACGGACAAATTCTAAAAAATTAAACGCAGCTAAAACCGCGAGAAGATGCCGTTATATATTATTTACATATATGCTTTAGTCTACAGTAAGTAACCATTTCCTATATATTTGAGCAGCAAAATTAAAGGCGAGGTAAGTTATAAGAACATATTGTACACACCGTCCGTTTTGTGGGTGAGGTGATGATGCCCTCTCGCCCTGCACCAGGAATAGAGAGCCTCGGTCCGCGTCGAGCAGTATCGACACGTTCTGAAGGATCTTGTGGCATAGCACACGAACCTCCAACTCATTGCATATGTCTTTAACCTAGAACAAAATATTGTTATAAATACAATTATAGATACAAATTGTTGACTCTTAAATATTTTGAGAGACCGCCACGTTGAATAATTCATATTTTAATAGGTAAGAAATATAAGTACCCGTTATCTAACCCATTTAGTGAAAAAACTTTTCAAAATCGATTTAGCAAAGTTATTGTATAATATACACAGCAAAATTCTCCTTTTTAGAAATAGTTCGGCCCATGTATTTAAAATTAAACCAAGTAAAGCTTCACTATAGTTTATATATTTATAGATTAATTTGACGCCTCTCATGTCTCAAATCATTAATCTACAAAGTTTAAATTTAACTTAAATGTCGTTAGTAATGTCAAAATAACAGCTTTTTACTATAGTCCAGTCAAATAAGGTCTGAAATCAAAATTCGAATCTCAACTTTGCATTTTTGATATAATGTAGTTTTAATTATAATACTTTCTTAGATTTACGCGAATGTTTGACATTATTAAATAAAACTATCTTTTCGGATTATTTCGCGGATTTATTTTAATTTTTGGTTCCCGACGTTTCGAATGCTTTACAGCATCCATGGTCACGGGAGAGACTGAGGTGTTACATGTCTTGAAGGTATAGTTGTTACAGACAGCCTACCCACAATTAACAAAAGAAAATTGCACCAATTACATTACAATATTTTTTAACTTCAAACATTTTTATAATTTTAATGATGCTGTAAAGCAATCGAAACGTCGGGAACCAAAAATCAAAATAAATCCGCGAAATAATCCGAAAAGATAGTTTTATTTAATAGTTTTAATTATACAAAAACAATGTATAAAGGTTTTCGTGTCATTAGCCTCCAGCAAGGGTTGAAAAAAAGTTTTCAAATATGTTTTTTCGCAATTACTCGAAAACGGTAAAACTTAGACAAAAAAGTTTTAGTAAAAATATGTAGAGCTTAAAATTTTACATGAAAAAAGTATCATGGGGGCGGCCCCGGACGTAGCGAGGGTAAGTCGCTAGTTGAGTATAAAATCATTCATCACTGTATTTCATATAAACTACGGGTCGGATTCCAAGGTCTTATAATCGTAGAGGTCCAGCTATTTGGTTTCAGTATTGATGAATCTAATAAATCAGCCAGTCAGAAGACGTTACTTCATACTTTAAGACAATATAATAAATAATCCACGTATTATATAATATTCAATTACTCTTTTAACATAATGAGCAAAATTTTCTATCTATAATATGTATCACTAAACTAGGATTTTAATACATATGTAAAACCGTGTTCCACATTATCTTCTGCTTATGATGAAGTCGTAAAATTATTTTAATTACTTATACTGGTATAGAACACGTTTGATTCAAATTATCATTTTATTAAAGTAGCGCTCTATTAATAAAACGAGTCAATAAACACCTCTATATTTTATTATTTAGAAAGTACTAACATTTAAGCGTATATTTATGTGAATGATATTATAGTAACAACCGTTGTTATCTATAATAAATATAAGTTATATAAATTAAACATTTAAATATGTATTTATTATACTTAAGCATAATGAATTGAAAAAATCAAAGGTCTTATAATACTTAACATTGAAAATCATTAAAAGTACAGAGAAATGGAAACAAACATTTTTATTAGAGAAGAAGCAAGATCGTTTGTCAAGTTTTCAGTCAAGATTAACAGGCGGCTATGTTCTTACTTATACATCAAAATAGAACCAAATATGATAACTATACGTCTATATTATTACATATAATATAATAAAACTCTAACCGAGTCGAATCTGTAGGCCGAATCTATAGTTATTAGAATTTTTGTCTGTCTGTCTGTCTGTCTGTGTGGGAACGCATCACGATAAAACCATTAGACAAATTTTGATAAAATTTGGTATGATGATAGCTAGTTATCCGAGTCAACATATAGAAAACTTTTTATTGCGGGAAAATATCTCATCTCTGAGAAATCTACACTAAATGTTAAAACGTAACTAGGGACGAACCCGAGCGGGGCGAGGATAATTCGCTAGTGTAATATAAAAGCAAAAACCGAAAAGCTTTAACCAAAGCTGTTAAACATAAATTGTAATATGTAACGCAGAAGTGCTTTGTTACATCAAAGTCACGAAGTCGCCGGGAGCTTTCCGCATTTTCATTTTACCGTCTTAGCCGAGTTTAGCAGCTGATTTCCGAACTAATTTCCGTGAAACAGTGACGCGCCTTGCAATTCTGTAATAACATGTTAATAGTAAATCCACAAAGTATATTTTTAGCATAAATTTAACTTTGGACTAAACGGTTATGTTTTAGTTTTATAGCTTGAATAATCTGAAAAAAATTAATTGTTTATCGATAAATTTTAGTTATTTTATGTTAATCAATATCCCTTGTTGCTGTTTTATTTACTATATTTTAAATATGTTAAACATGAGAACGTTTACTCTGCTTAAGCATTAAAGGTTAATTGAAATGAAGGTAACGGAATAATTACCTATATAACCTATCAATGATATTATACTAGCGAGACTCAACCTCGCTTCACTCGGGTTCGTCCCTTGGTTGATTCCCCATACAAATTTTCATCGCCATTTTCACCCCCTTAAGAGATGATTTACGGGATAAAAAGTATCCTATGTCCTTTTTAGGGTCTCAAACTATCTTTTTACCAAATTTCATCGAAATCGGTTCAGTAGGTCCAGAGATTACCCCATACAACGTCACAAACTCACAAACTTTACCTCTTTATAATATTAAGTATAGGTTTTAACATTTTATGAGATCCACTCATTTAACTAGTATAAAATAGCATTTACTATGGAGTATTTGTATAGGCCACGTACCCGAATTTGATAAGGCACCAGGAGATAAACAAACATCACTTTCGCCTTTACTAATATGTATTCGTTTTACTATAACGAGGTTTACTCATGAGCTTATTCCCTATTATCACAATTTTTATGTAAGCTCAAAGCTTTCTATAAAACATCCATGTCAATCTATTCCTCCGCATAATATTTCAAGTAAAGCTTTCGTAATTTAGTGGCGACACTGAAGAACATTTGTTTTATCCGCCATAGCGATTTATCCTCGTCCTGATTGATACACGAAATGATTAATAATCGACCATTTGGGTCGAACGTGACCTCAATCAAATCTATGAAGTCAACGGGATAGCAGAATTTATATACTTAAATATTTGGTAAGAATCATAAAGTTCAATATTAGCCAGTGCAATCTATACATATAATAAAATTGTAACTAAGTCGAATCTGTACATTAAATATTTTTTGGAAAATCTTATTGAAATAGACATTATTATCGATACAGAATCTGAATCTATAGTTTTTAGAATTTTTGTCTGTCTGTCTGTCTGTCTGTCTGTCTGTCTGTCTATCTGTCTGTCTGTTACCGCATCACGAGAAGACCACTGGACAGATTTTGATGAAATTTGGTATGATGATAGCTGGTTATCCGGGTCAACATATAGAATACTTTTTACCGCGGGAAAATATCTCATTTCTGAGAAAAAATACAAAAACTGTATTATAAGAGATACTACGAATATGTAAAACCTAAGAATTTGGTTTTTAGTCATCTGAACGCGGGCAGAGCCGCGGGCAATGCTAGTTTTGTTATAAATTTACATTATACACTTATTCTATGCTATTTATATCTACATATTTCAAACAGCTAGCATCTAGAACAGTTTTTAACATTTTGATCTGTTTTTTATACGTGCACAGGTATACGCGTCATATATTTAAAAAACAATACACCGAACAATATATCGAATATACGAATCTATAATCTATCTATAATATATGTAGATAATATGACGTACATATGTTTGTCTTTGTGCGTCATAGATTTTTGACACGACACTGTCAACGTAACATCTGTGGCGGACTAATAATAATAATTTACTAGACTAAAAAGAACAGCTATATAATAGAGAGTAATATGTCATTTTACACTCAACGACACATTTGCAATTCGCTAGTAATATTAAAATATAAAAAATATTTACTTCTGCCATATTTTAAATTTAAAAAAAAAAAATATAAATGTGCAATTCACACATCGTAGAAGTGAAACTTCAGAAAATGATATGAATATAGAGTATCAGGAGTAGGATAATCATAAGGATTTTTTTATTTATATTATTTTTACCAAGTTTAAAAGTTATTTTACATTTTATTTGACATAAATATAAACATTACATAATAATCAGTAATGAATTTTATTATTTTTCACTTCCTGTGTAATGTATTCTATCAAATAACAACGGTTACCATGACAACGGTTACCATGGCATCATCGCAATGTATTCTATCTCATTCTATCGCCGGCTTAATCCTATATATTTATATGTTTGTCTCTTTTTACTGTCGCATTTCCGTTGCATCGAGTTTCAAATCACAACGATTCTAAAGAAGTTGCACTTCAAAAAACATTTTTATATTAAATTTGTAATTCGAAATGATATGACCGATTGGTCTGAATGAAAGACAGTGAGTGAGTGACTCACGCTTTAATTGCTCTTAGCTTACGCACACACACGAGTTTGAATTACATGTACACAAGGTTTAAAGTGGAAAATATATGGCAAATCGTATATCGTAATGTTTTTAATGTGTGCAGCATTAACCGACATAAACAACGTCAACCTTTAGCATATGTTTACCCGAAAACGGAAAAGGGGGCTTGCCATTTAAACAAATGATATTCAAACAGACATCTATAATAATGTAAATATTTTCTACACAGTATTATTGTACTTTGCAATTCATTCTACTGGTTCTTTTATTTGTTCCTGTATAAATAAGTGTCGGTGTAACAACGTAACTGTTAACAAGCTAATTACATATTATTACTAATAAATGCGAAATAATGGATGTTTGTTTGTTTGTTACTCAATCACGCCAGAACGGCTAAGCGGATGTGGATGAAATTTGGCACTGAGATAGGTTAGTCTGGAATAGCACATAGGCTACTTTTTATCCCGGA